GCGCGCACACCGTCGATCTCGAGCGTCCCCTCCCAGTGCGCGAGAGAATCGACCAGGTCCCCGTTCGCCATCTGCAACGTCTTTGTTGGCGCGCTGATATTCCCTAGACGGTTCCTCGCCTTCTTGAAAACCAGCTTGTCCATTGCGCCGACTTGCGCGCCTCCATCCCATAGTGCCAGCACCCGCACCTTCTCCCCTCACGGTCCTTCCAATATCACCCAGTGAAGGAATGGGTTGGTCATCTTATTGCGCGTGGATCCCAACGTGTACAGCTCAACAATTTCGAATTTGCTATTGAGGGCACAAGATGGGATCCCCACGCCGCCAAATCGGCCAGGGTCCGGGACTACAGTGCGACTGTTTACTCCTGCAGTCCCTCGACAAAATCCTCCTCCCCACGCGCCTCCTCCCTCTCGCCATCGAACCACGGCCCCATCACGACGGCGGGATCGACCACGACATGATTCACTGCCGCCGCGGTAGCCTTGAGATTGGTATGGCCGAGCCACATCCCGCCGAGCGAGCGGATCGCGGTCTCGAGCGCCGGGAGCACCGCCTTCTTGCATCCCTCCGGTGTTTTCTCGTGCAGCGGCGTGGTCCCGACCCCGCAGGCCCAGCACCCATGCATGGGTCGGCGACGCCAGGAATGAGGGGGTAGCCGGTCAGCTCCAGCCTCAGCTGCGTGCGAGCGATGCTGCCGAACTTGCGGTCCCAGGTGCGTATGTCCGCCGCGTACTCCGCGAGGCCCGTGGGCGTATTGGGGTGTCTGCGCGCGATGCATGCCTCGAGGACCTTCCGCAGCTGCTCCTTCTGCTCAGCGGTCGCTCCGCCCTTGCACCCAACACCCTTCAACGCGGTGGTGGCGACTGCGGTCTTGACGGTGGGTGAGAGTGGTGCGGACGATGGGTTGGGGGAGCGGGCGGTGCTGCTCGCAACGCGCAGGGGAGCTGAACACCTTTTTTAGGTCCTTGACGTCGGCCTTGGTCGACCTTTTTTCTTTGTAATCGGCGATGGCGAGCGCGATCACCGACTGCGGGATGGCGCCCAGCGCGGTCGTCATCGCCAACCAGTTGGCGGGCATCACGCCGACTGCGCTCTGAAGGACATGGAGTAGCGCTGCATGGAAGCCCCAAAGTCCCACTGCAGACGTCAAAGTGTTCACCGCGATGACCGCGTCTGTGAGACGCTCCACGAAATCAGCGAGGACGTAGACCTGACGCCCTCGCACCTCGACCGTGCCCGCCGCGAGCGCCCCCAGTGTGATTCTCATACGGCTGAGCTCATCCTCGAGCTGCGCAACTGGTTTCAGCACTGGGGGGGCTCCTTTGAAGCGGGCCTTGAAGGCGGTCTGGAAAGCAGCCCAGTCGGAGGCGGCTGCTGGGGTGGGGACGGTGGCCTGAAGGTTGTTAAACCATTTTTCGGCGGGGGAGTCCTCCTCGAAGCGGTCTGCGACATCAATAAATTTCTCGGCCTCGGGCGTCTTGTTCGTACGGTGTAACATATTGAGCTTCTTCATGAAATTCGCTGCGCTGAGCTCCACTTTGTCGTGTTTGCCCGAGAATTGAAGGTCCATCGCGGCGACCGGCTTTTGCGGGGGTATGACGAGTGGCGTGGGAGCAAGGGGTACGCGCGTGAGTGGCACCGACGGGGGAAATGACAGGCGACGCACTGGACGTGGTGGAAGTGGTGGCGGTACGCGGGGTGCTGCTCCTGCGGTCGATGGCGGCGTGATCAGGAAAGCGGGTCCTAATCTGCGGAAATCTAGCGGCAGCGACGTGGGTGATGGCGACGATAGTGGTGTTAGAGGGGAGCCTGGTGGGACGGGGAATGGTCCTCCTCGCAGGCTGGGGCTCGTGGGATCCGATACTCGACGCGCTCGGTCCGATCGCAATACGCGGGTTGTCGTCGTCAACGGTGCCAGCTCTGCCGCTGGGTGATGCAACTGGGGTGAGGCGCCGGGTAGCCGCAACTAGGCACAGTGCCTATCGACGAGAACGACTAAAATCTATGGAGCAGCAGGGTGCGATCGATGAGGAAAAAAAGCAAAAAGCTTGGTGGCGAGGATCTGGGCGGATTGGTGGCGTGGGACGAATCTCACTCTGATCACCACAATGGGGTCTGCCGGGGGACTTCTGTGTGGCAGTGAGCGGCGATCACAGCTGAAGAGACCCTCTGGGGACGCTGACAAGATAGGATGGTCACCTGCCTACAAACAAGCCCTCTAACTACCAAAACACCGGCCATACACGGCTGCACCGCCACCTCCGGCGGCTTCCGCCGCCACCACACCAAGTTCTGTATATCCTCCTCCGAGTTTGGGCTGACTATTATCTCAAGCACGACCCCACGTGATGATTTGATGGCATCGTTCAACCCGTTGGAGCCGAACTTTGCTGAGACGTATGAAGAGGATATACAGAGGGCGGCAGGCAGGTGCATTCAAGAAGGAGTTACATTCCAATCAAGCAAGGCACATTCCACTTGATGTGCTGCCTTTGAGAGCAAAGACGGCACTTGCCATTTTGGAATGTACCGGGTGTCGGCAAACAATCGGCAAAGCTCTGTTCCATAAGCGGGACACGTGTCTCCCACTTTTTGCATTCTTTTTTCCTACCACCACTGCTGTTCACCCAAACCCTCTCCCGACGTGTCGAAAGCGCGTCAAAATGGCCACCGACGTGGGCGCAGGATCAAAGCACACGCCAGCTGACCGAGAATACCTTGACAGCCTGTCGGCACGTCTGCTGATGGAATTCCGGAACCATGTACGTCGTGACCGCGGAGTACGAACAGATATTCTGACGCGCTAAATTAGGTTTTCTCTCCTACCTACATTGATCTCAACGCTGCGAGGTTTCTGGACCACGAATGGGTTGATATGGGAGTCCTCTGTGAGTTTCTTCTGCAGCCGGCCCAAAATTCCACCCCCCCCACTAACAAAGTTTCAGCGGCCCAAACTCCCGTCAATGCCATGCAGTCGGACGACACGTCAGCTCCAGTTTCGGCAACTGCTGCAGCGCCCTCGTTGCCCGAATTCCGCTCCACCGAACTTGCGACCGACTCAGTATTCAGCTCTCTACTCACTGCCACACCGTTACTGCCCGAATTCAGCTCCGTCTCTCGATATTCAATCCCACTTTTTTTTTGGTCTAGCCACAACTGCAACGCCACCTTCGAACTTCAACACGCCTGCCGTAGATCCCTTCGACAATTTCTTCACCTCATATGGCTTCCTCCACTGACCTCGGCACCATTATCGATCCCGGCTTTGCTTCCGCGGGACCATCGGACTTGCCCATGTTCCCTCTACCGCTGCCAGAATCCCCACCAGCTGCGTCCCGCTGTCGGGCAGTCATCGGACCAGGCCCAAGTGCTCCGAGATCACGCTGTTCTCAACAAGAAGTCGATAAGTTACAGGTGTGTTTTTGAAATTACAAAATCTGTTATTTCAGTTGAGTCTACTCTATTATTTTGCGCGACCGACAGTAGAATCAAGTTACAGAAAATCTGTTTCATTGAATTTACTGTTTGAACTCGTGCTAGACATGGTAAGGGACAGATGTCCCGTTTAAGCACCCAGTTTAGCGCCCAACCTTCACGCACTGTGTGTTGCCGAGGTGAGGGGTGCCGAGCCCGGCACCGGCAATGAAAAGTGCCGCCCTTGTTGGCAAACACGGCACTTCCACGGCTAATGTGCCGGGCTTGGGGGCAAAGTGCCGTGCATGCAGCGGAATGTACCGCCCTTGCAATGAATGTGCCGCAGGTGTTTTGTTGATCCCGGACGTATGAAAGGGCAGATTTCGAGTAGAGACAGCTGGGAAATGTCTCTGAGTCTCCTGTGGCATGTTCAACTTTCTGACAATTTATGTGAGCCCACTCACGACAATTTGTAGTCGAGATTTCCTCCGCTTTTTTCTGAGTGTTTCTTTGCACGTTTTGGGGCAGCACGGGCAACTTTCAAATTTGGCATAGATTTTTTCTCTCGGAGGCCAGAGGGACCCTCCCCTCCTACCCCATAAGGAAATTTATTATCTTCGAAGCCCCTTGCCTCGGAGTGTTACTATATTAGAGAGCTGCCGCTACAGCTGTATTTGTCGTCCGCCTTTGCCAAAGAACCCTATTTGCAACTGGACGATCTGATGTTGCCGAAAGAAATCTTCAAATCTCTTCTGCCCAGCGACAGCCCTGGATAAACAAGCCTCTGTTGAAATCCTTACCTTCTCGCCTGTCTAATCAGTCTCTTTGCTGTTCCTTACTGCAAGGGCCGTTCAGATTGACCCCGGAACCTTGAACAATGCTCAATGGCCCGAAAGCTGAATTCTTTTTCCCTTGTGATGTGGTATGCACTAGCCACATCGCCGCGCAATAAACACATACAATTGTGTTCCTCAGGTCTTTGTCATCTCTGCCTCCTTCTGTCAGAATACCCTGTAGACTGTAAACTCTGAGCCTTCTCTGGTCTACATTTTCTTCTTACGTCTGCCGGCGTCACATCGCACTCGGCTTTTCGTACTGTCTGCTGCGGGGTGCTCCCTCTAAACTCCCCCGGAATCCTTGAGACCCTCAGGTACATACGAAACAAAAAATGCCTTCGTCCACGCTTCTGCGATCGACCTCCCAACATTATTTTGACATTGGTCTTTGAACACAACCTTGCTGTCACTGCTCGATTTTCGACCCAGCAAGCACACCATACCTACAGTGACCACATTCTGTCCTCGACCTGCTCCTCCCGTTGGATATTTTTGGGGGACTATTTAACCCAAATTTCATCAACTCGTCCGTCCTTCTGCCATTCACCCTCCTTCTCCCGGCGTCCCCAGTACAGTCGCATCGCGCCCACAGGTACACGGGACCCTCCCGACCCTCCGAGTTCCTACATCCAGTCCTTTGACTCAGTCGGGTCATCCCATTCTTCAAAAAAATCCATTTCTTTTCTAGAACCCTTCCCATCCGCTTCCATCCCCTACTAATCCCCCTCCTTCCCCCTCATCCTCCACACATCCATGGTGAAGCGGTTTATCATGCTTGCCTTCCATAATACGGTCCCTTTGGTTAGCAAGCGGCAGGGGTTCGACTCCCCTTGGATGTATCATGGCGCCGATGGAAAGTTTCTGGGCTTCGTTTTTATTATTATTTTAAATCGCGTCAAGGAGACATATTATTGCATTACCAGCGCCTAATAAGAGCATCTGAATCTCCTCCGGGTCAGTTCTCCGACTTACAGAGCTACGAATATTTATTTGTGTTGTGTGTTCCGATCAAGTACCAGTTTCCTGTTTGCGCCCACCATGTCCGCAACATCTTCCTGCGCGCGGAATCTACTCCGGAAGCACTATGGACTGGGAATCGGACCCCCTCCTGCTCTCCGTTCAACCACCGTCATCCAATCCAGCCACGACCACCAGACCAGCATCGGTACTCAGATGACATCCCAGGCTATTCCATGGGGCATTGCATCCATCCACCGTCCCCAGGCCATTCCACGTGTCATTTCATCCAGCCATCGTCCCCAGTCCTACCGCACAGACCATGTCCCCAGACCCTTGCTCGAGGCATTGTATCCAGCCACTGTCCCCAGCCCTCTCTTGAGTCATTGCTTGCGTCCAGATCCAGTACCCAGACGACATCCCACAGGCACATTTCATTCAGACACCTTGCTCAGTCCGTTCAATAGGCGTTACATCCCACATTCCATCCAGCAGACAACATTCCCAGTTCGGTCCTTATGTTCCCGCCCTTCTTCGCCAGCACCCAGACGAGGGCATTTATATTAGCCTTTCCCCAGTACGTCGTATTCAGTCCAGGCAATTCCGCGTGGCATTGCATACAACCCTAACGCGTAGACCACATCCCCAGTCCCTTTCCCGGGTCGTTGCATCCAGCCATAATCCCCAGCCCTCCAGCTCAGTAATAGGACAATGTTTCCAGGCCTACCGCGCAGACGACATTCCCATCCCCTTTCCCGGTGCATTTCATCTAGCCACGACTTTCCCTGCCCATTCAACGGGTGTTACATCCACGCACCATCCCAGGTCATTCCTCTGCACATTGCATCCAGCCAACGTCCCCAGCCTGTTCCCCGGGACTTCCCATTCAGCCCCGGGCCAGTACTCAGATTGCATTCAGTCCCCCCGCCCTGCAAGCACTTTTCCATGCACAAGGACCATGTATGACGCCACCCTCGTCTCTCCATCTCAGCGACGATTATCAACAACCATGTTCCATTCTCCGGCCCCAACAGAGACACGCCACATCCAGCCAAGAAATCAATTGAGCATCCGTCACGACTACGCTTCAATACCAATTAGGGCGACTCTTTCACAGCAACTCTTCCATCTCTATGTTCCACTCCACCCTCGATGACCATCCCTCAGTTCAACGAGTATCAATATCCAGCCACTCATCCTTCGGCTACTTTACACGACAATCCACAGACCCGACTAGTAAACTCGGCGAAATCAATCACATGACTACACCTTAATACATCTCAGACGCTACCATCGACACTCTTCCCATCTTCAGAGAACCGCACGCCAAGTACATCTTTTTCCACAACTTTTTTCTGCCGCTCAATGAAAAGACTGAGTCTGCGCGCCATCCCCCACAGCGACCACCCTCCTTTCTACTGCCCCCCGTCGTCCCCTGGCCTACCGCCAACGCCCACTCGACGTCTATGGGATATTCTTTCTGTCTCAAGCTTGACACGCAACCTTAAGCTCTTCAATCTTCAGTCCTCAAGCGCTGCAAGTACCTGGCCCTCAAGTTTCCCGCTAGCTTTCCTCCTCAAGTTTCATCGTTTGGGTGCTCAAGACCTCACTTCCAAGTTATTAAGCTACTGGCCTTCAAGTGTGGAGTCGTGACTTAGTTTCCTCAACTTCCAAACTGTTCCAAGTGCTCAAGACTATACTCCGCGTGCCGATAACAATCATCAGCCGAGACAAAACATTGCCGGAGGAGATGGAAGAGTGGGCGCCGTCGATGGACGTGTGTCAGCACTGCCCCGCGTGCTCGCGGCGTCATCTCGTGCTTCAATATGTGTGTGAGCCTCCGTGCGTCCCACTTCCCCTTCCCGTTTTCGTTTTCCTGTTATTTGCTTTTGGCCTACTTCTACCTTCTCGCAGCCGCCATCAACCCAATTGTGCGGTTGATGTATCTGCGCACGCGGCCAGCACACAGTGCCGCTGCTTATCGGGCAGCTCGAGGAGTGAGCATTCGTAATGAGAGTAGCTTTGGTTGTGTGTACTTCTATCAAGCATGTAGTATGTGTACTGTTAATATATATACATAGGTACCCAAACGCGGCTGAAAATGTGTTGATTTTGCGCTGTTCATCAACCTGAGAATGCGCTAAATTTCAATAAAATGTACGATGAGCGTACATGAATCCACCCGCATTAGGTTGAAAATCAACGGAATAGAGCATCGGCCATAGGATAATTTTGACCTTGCGAATCAACCTGAACAAACCAACCTATAACCATGTAGTAATCAATCTAAGGTGGGTGAAATTCAACCTAAAGGCCGCTAGAATACATCCTAACTACTAGGTTGAATGTTAGGTTAAATTTCAACCTCTGCCGCCTCCCCAAAGTATTGGATAAATTACTTGTGATAATCAAGGGTATATTGTACTCAGATAGCCGACAAAACGAGGAGAGGCGTATCAAGAAAATCAACTGTTCAGAAGGAAGCTCGTTCGGGGTCAAGACCAATTTAAAGATAACGAATCGGTACAACCATCTCCTAATATTACACTGCCTTTCATACAAGATCCTTTACTTTGCAATTCCCTTCATATAGTAAGTCTCGGCCTGCGAGTCGCCATCTCCAAGCCGGTCCGTGGTAGACTCGATCGTGACGTTGATGACATTATCCATCGTCTTACTCTGGTCTGAAGTCGCGTACGATGGGAATTGCAATCCGCTAAATCCTCGTCTAGCTACTTGCCCTTCTGCTTGTACGACCATACCACGTTCGGTTTGATCGAAGGTTGTGAATTGGTCGTCTCGTCGTGGAGTGGAGCGGATGATGATAACATTGAATGTAATTCCAGTCGCTTGGAGAGTCTACATCGAGAAATCAGTTTCGGCATCACTGGGAGGGGATTGTACTTACGGCATCGGACAGAGGGTAGAGCGCATTGCTGTTACATACACTCACCACGAAGGTCATGAAGACCAGGGTACTGTATGCTAGACCCGACTCTGCAACCACTCGGATGACTTTGTGAAGTTGAGTTCGAGGGACAATTATAGACGAAGTAGTTCTGCCCCCTGTGCCGCGGTACCTCGCGTTTTGGTGTTCTACGCGCCATATGCGCCATACAAGAAGACCTGAAACACGAAAGTAAGCGATGGGCATCGGGAAAGCGGCAAGCTTACCGGTGGTAAGAACGTTTTGGGCTGCAGTAATGGCGAAGAAAGCAGACCACCAGGGTTTGATTACATTGGAATTGAGGGTAATGGCGCCGTTGCTGGTCGTGATTTCAACATACATCAACTTGATGGCCATGGCGATACCAGTGAGGTAGAGCACAAACGAGGGCACGACGACTAGCCACCGCCGACCATACACGATGTAGCATCGGTATATCAGGACGAAGTCACCGACAATCATATTGGCGGTTTGGGCAAAGGACTAAGGATGTTTAGCTACGGTGATCGACTCCGATCATATACAATACTCACCCTCGCAATGTTGATCCAATCATGGATGTTCGTGAGCTCCTCCTTGGATCCTCCAGGGCCAGTGTATTTGACAAAGGCCGCAAGGTTATGAACCAGTCCGATGATATCGTCGAACGTGTTCACAACAAAGATGAAGCAGAAGACGCTAACCAGCATCCACCGGATCTCACTTCGTCGCCTCAGTCGCTCCTCTCCTCCGTGCTGTGGTATCCAAAACAAGCTCTGAACGCAGAAACAGCATGTCACTAGGAGGAGGAGGAGGATATATTACTGCCGCGGTCCCAATCAGGAACTAGCAGGTACTGTACCTAGGTACATCCCATAGGTCAAGGTTTCGAAGTAATTGCCCGTGAGCTGCGCTTCTGTTATAGGGAATGAGTCGGAATCATCTCGAGGAGTTAGCATTGTGAATGAGGGGTAACGGATGGGCCAGACAATATTATGGTGCACTGCCAGTGAACAGGGAATAGAATGACGACCGGCGGCATGCGTTTTTGGAGCAGGGGTATATAGGTATCCACGCCAGAATCCACGCACCCAAGATAAGATGCTGTGAGATGTGTAATGATGGATAAGACGTCAGCGAACGTTAACTGAAGTGCATCTTGCCGAGGGTTGACAGCAATCTCACTGGATTTAATTTTGGATTAGACAGCTGTGGTTGCACACGACCTTCACAAAGAGTATTTCAGTATCCTGGAAGAGATGAGTAGAAATCACTTTGAGCGAATGAGGGGCAACGGATGGGCCAGACAATATGGTGCACTGCCGCAGAGAATAGAATGAAAACCGGGATGAGTATCCGGAAAGATAAGATGCTGTGAGACGTATACCAAAATGAGTGGGTATGATGGTGTCGGTGAAGTGAATCTTGCCGAAAGTTGACAGCAATCTCGATGGGCGCAGTAAATCGAGGCGATAAACATCTATGCTTCTTTCAGGACCTTACCATGGCACTCATCAAGAACAGTCAAGAACGCGACATCGCGGCAAACTATGGGGAACACGGGTGTTGAGCCAGAGAAGACGCTGGAAAGCGCGCCAATCCGTCAGTTATTTGATCAATGAAAATTTGGGCGGCTGGCACCAAGGCTGGGTGCTATCGGATCCAGAATCTACCGACCTTCCCGGATCTGAGGAGAGCGGAAGAATTTGGAGAGCGCTCGGAAGCGCTCGTGAAGCACATCTCAAAGTACAGACTGGCATCAAGTGATTGGGAGCGGATGATCACGGTTCGCTGTCCGGCTTCATCCGTCGCGAGCCGAACTAACCTAATTAGTATACCCAAGGATTTGAACGAGGGAGAAAATATTTCGTGATGGTAGCGCTGGAAAACATGCGGATTTAATGGTAGACACCACAATGATTTTAGAAATGAACTTGGGCGTGACATTGACTTGAT